GATTTAAAATTAAAAAGCTTGTCAAAAGTAAATTAATTTGAAATAAATAAATTAATTAAATTTTAACGAATGATAAATAAAAGTTCCATGCAAAATTTTTAGAGTAGTTTTAGTTATGCCTTAACAAATACTTATTTCGCATCTTAATTTTTTGTCACTCAACCTTGAAATTCATTTATTGGGACGCATGATTACTCCCCACATTGAAGTTGTTGATATTTTCATGACGTTAAATTAAAAATCATATAATTTTTACTTATCAGAAGTGCAGAAATAAAAATTTTGTTTTGTGGAAGTTTATACAATATGAAGTTAGTGTTTGAAGAAATATCTATGTAAACCATTCTTTAATTCATGTAATTACTGCTCATGATAATATTTACGTAGGAGAAATGTGGAGGGGTTAAAGTAATAGTTGAAGTGATTTTGAATAGTATAAATTACAAGGAAAAAAAATTGTTATTAAAAAATTTTTTAAATACCTGAAAGTTTGCTATAATAATTATAATGTGGAAGAATTTGTTGTTATGAAAATTTATATTTCAAAGCACAATCATGCTATTAAATTCATAGGTAATATAATATATATTGAATCAAATTATAATTCAACATAATTGGAAAAAAATGGTTTGTTTTATGACATTAATTTTATGCAGTAGATGTAATATTTAGATGAATTTTCCTTTAACTAAATTTGTGTTTTAAGTAGATTTGCAGTAGATAGATTTTTTATTCAACATATTTTGCATGTATGGAAAGTCCGACTTGTACAAAGAATCAATTATTTTCTTTATTATTCATGGAAATATAAATATATAATATTTATTAATTAGAATGAAATAATTTTATTTTATATAACGATTTGGATTATATTAAATTGCTCGAAATTTAATTCTTCTTTAGTAGAAATTAAGTATTCTCATACCCAGTAAAGAATAAAAGATACAAGAACGGCGGATTGCGGTTACAAGCTCAATAGCTGGTAAACGAATCCATGAGAATCTCGGATACAAGCACTTTTCGGTATCCGAAATGATCATAAGCTTGTAAACGCACTGAAATGGACGACTTTTGTAGGTCTTTTAATCAAGAAAAAACAATTAAATGAATGCAGAAACGATGGAAAATTAAATTAGAAGCAAAAATAAATAATTATTTTTTAAAGAAACGTACATTTAAACAAAAAACAATTATTCTTACTATTTCTAACCTCTGCATTAAAAACATTGTAAAAACAGTGTTTTGTTGGTAATTTTACCTTACCGATATTGGATATTAATTTAACGTGGGTTTTTCGATTTTCCAATTTCAGAAGCAATTCATAATAATCAAAATATTATTAAACATAAAACGGTGCTCATTTTTAATTTCCTTTCCCCCTTTTAATTAAATCATTTTATATTGCATTAAAATAGAAAATTCGAAAAAAAACCCTCGTTATATTAATATTCAACGTTGGTAAGGTAGAAAACCATATTTTCCGAATAGCAACATAAAATTACCAACAAAACACTGATTTTACAATGTTTTTAATGCAGAGGTTAGAATTAATAAGCATAATTGTTTTTTGTTTAAATGTACGTTTCTTTAAAAAATAATTATTTATTTTTGCTTCTAATTTAATTTTCCATCGTTTCTGCATCCATTTAATTGTTTTTTCTTGATTAAAAGACCTACAAAAGTCGTCCGCTTCAGTGCGTTTACAAGCTTATGATCATTTCGGATACCGAATAGTGCTTGTATCCGAGATTCTCATGGATTCGTTTACCAGCTATTGAGCTAGTAACCGCAATCCGACGTTCTTGTATCTTTTATTTTTTACTGGGTAGTTATTAAAATATTTATTTTATTGTACATCGAAATAATGAATAAACATACGTCGATTTCGATAAATGAAACGAAATTTAGTAAACCTTTATTATAATTGTCAGGGGGACATTCTGGTTCAAAATTGTGGAGAAAGTGAGAATATTCAAGAATTTTATCGCCAAATTCAAAACAAAAAAACCAGAAACAATTTCGTTAATACAAATTCCCAGAAGAAAAAGTTGAATAGAATGCCAGTGAATCATTCTATATATCTTCTAGTGAATATTCCAGAGAATTTTACTTAAACGTTTGTATAGAATTTCTACATGAATTCAACTAAATTTTAGTCATCTTTAATTAAAAATTTACTGCAAAATTCTTAGAATTGATGTGTACTCCGCTCCGCACATTGGACAATGCTTATCTGGTAAGGCGGAATATTGTTCCTTACAACCCTCACAGATATTCAAATGTCCACAAGGGACAAAACTGAACCGTGGTGGCAATTCTCGGCAAATGCAACACCGCGCCTCAGTTGGATTTTGATTTTGAGCTACGTCAACTGCAACCTCAGCAGCAACTTCAGGTACAATGTCAACAACTGTAAATTGCAAAAATACATATCACTCAATAATAATAATAATAATAATAATATTTAAATATTTAGAATTACTAAAAAGCCACGGCCATATTCATCAATACATACCGACGGCATCTTCTTCCTCTGACGACACTATTTCAATATCGGGATCATTCCTTACTGTAAGACTGAATGGGTAGACTGCAGCAAAGTCTTAAAACAAAACAAAGAAGTAACCGTAAGACAGAAAAAAAGGATAGCAAATGTTGAATAGTTAAATAAATGATAAGGTAATGGCACCTATTCTCGATCAGAAACTATAGTCAATCAATAAGCTATAATTGATAATTAACATTTTAAATAAATAAGTATGAAGATATAATATAGCTTTATAATATATAATTAATACTCATTAAAAAATTTACAATATTATAAACTTTTAATACCAATTCAATTAATACTATGAATCATAATTATTATCCATTGGTCGACTATTGGTTTTGATCGAGTATAGGTGCCGTTACCTCGGGAATCTATGCGAACACAATATTATTTACCCTCATTTATCAATTCCACTAATGTTTCGTTCTCCCTGCTAATATCATCAAAGTACCGCGATAAAAATTCTATTCTTGAATCCGTATGCCGATTTCTACAAATTTGCAAACATTCTTCTTGAGAAATCAAGCCTTCGTCAAAGGAATTCCAGGCCCTCTTCAAAGTTGTGTCGCTAATTCTGCTCAAGATTTTTTTACATTTAATGTCCCTGGTTATGTTGCTTTCCAGCTTCAAGTAATCTGAGTACGATTGCTTTTGCAAACGGGCAATTTCCTCTGAAATTAATTTAAAGGTTTAATGCAGGCATAAGATGGATTCATTTATTAGCTATTAGTAAAATTATCATAAATATATTTACAATATTGTGAACTTTTTTTTACCAATTTTATTAAACTATGAATTCATTATTATCCATTGATCGAGTATAGGTGCCGTTACCTTATAAGACGCGTACAAAAAGTTATTATAATCTGATTACATATCAAGAAAAGTGAAAGAAGTTCAATGTCTCATTCCTAATAATTTTTCCCTATTTATTCTCATTAAATCATTAATAAAAATATTTTCAAAAAAAGTACTTAGAGCAACTCCACGTGAACAGAGCCAATAAAAAAAATTATATATCAAGGGACATTGTTTTATTCGAATTGACATAACTTCTACAAAAATTAAGCTATTATAATTTTTATATAGTGAATTTTAAAAGCTTTTTTTGTGTATTTTCAAATACAAAAACGTAATCTTTCTAAGCAGAATTAGAAAAAAACAAATTTTTTCGACTGGCGTGGAATTCAAAAGGGTTACGTTTCTAATGCCAAATTCAGTAGAAAACGCATTTATATTTTAATTATTTCTTCTTAATCCATTTAAAAGACCATTATAATTAAATTTTGACAAATTTCCTATCAAAAGCATTATTTCATTTCGAATATAAAGTTTTTCAAATAAAATAATGGAAATGGAATGCCTCATTATTAGAATAATTATCATTCTTCAATTTTCATTAAAAATAAATTTTAAATTCATATTCTAGTGAATCGTTCAAATTTTCAATTTTGCTACTGTTCTTACTTCAAGACGTAAAAAGAAATATTCTGACATTAATTAAGTTTTAAAGAGATTTTTATGTATTTATTTTAAATTCAAATACTTTTTTTTGTTAATTTCAATTGAACCGCCGGATCGTAGAAGGGCATACGCGTGAAATCCAGCGGTTTAAGTTGGCCCCTGACATGAAAAAAAAAATTTTTTTAATTTTGATTTTTGAATATTATATCCTTGTAGAGAATAAAATTACGCAACTTTTTTCTCCATAAAGTTTTTTCTTAAAGTGAATTGTTTTCAAAATAATTGCAAAAAACTTGATTTTTTTATACCGTAATATTTCATTCAATTTTATGTTCAACTCGTCATAAATCCGAAGTTTTTTGACTTCAGATTTGGAGGATTTACTCATCAAAGTGTCCCAAAAGTGTTAGATGAACAATAAATAAATTAAAATAATAACTAACATTTTTATTAATTTATTTATGTTAAAGGCCAAAAAAAATTATTTAATACTTTCAAATGAAAAAAGTCTGTGACGAACTTTCGAATTGGAAAAACTTCCAGTGGAAGAATTGTTTATAATAGTTCAATAAAGTTTTTCCAAAAGGTTTTAGACTAATTTGATTAAACATTTAGAATTTATAACAGTTTTACTTTTTGGTACGCCGCGCGTGGACCGGCCGTGAGTATAGTAATAGTGGCGTGATGCTTTATATCCTGGATATTTACTTATTGTAAAGACTTTTAGTTTTTAAAAAATTATTTGAATATTTTTGAATATACATTTTTAAACAATTTTTAAAAAATATAATTTTTATTTTTTGTATGTATTATATTTTATTAATGTTTCAAATTTAATATTTATTATTTTAAAGTTTTTGATGTTTTTCTCTCGCTATGTTCTTTTACCCAGTCCGTCCTGCTGCATTAGGTGTCCCCTTTGAGAGCGTTCATGGAGCGATGCTAAGATGGCAAGAAGCAAATCTTCCAGCGATCCCATACTCCATGACAATATTTTACCAAACTTTGATATCTCAGAATTCAAGACATCTTTTAAATTACAATGAAAACAGACATCTCAACATCATGACAGTCAACGGATCGTATTCTAGGGCGACAATACTAATAGACACAGATTTTGCAAGTAATTTGTTCACTAACTACATGGACGTTTATGTTCACATTTCGACTAAGGCTATTCCATCCTCTCCATTTTGCAAAGAACTGATCTCCTTTTTATTGGTCAAGGACGGCTACGTATGTGTACATTATTTTTTTTAACTCTTTCTACTTTTAAACCCTACATATATATTTATTATTAAATTTTATGAATCATTAGGCAATTCCGAGCGCTTGGGCAATAACTAATGATGTGTCAAGGGAAGGTTACCGAAACATTTTTCAAAAATTGAGAGACATTATTCCAGGATTCACAATAAACACGGCTATCACAACATATAGTCATGATTTCGAAGCAGCAATTCGAGAAGTATTCCCGGGAGCCAACGTATATGGCAGCCTTCTACACTATAGTCAGGTAAAGCAATTTAATTTAAGAAATTTATTATTATTTATAATAATGCATGAAAATCATCTTTAAATGTAAAATGTGTGAAAATTGAAAGTTTTTCTCATTTTTTATTTATATGATGATAAAATGAAGAAAAAAGGCTAGAAAGAAGTTATATTGTCAATAATTTTATTTATATAAAAAAAAAAATTTTATGTTCAACTCGTCATAAATCCGAAGTTTTTTGACTTTTTGACTTCAGATTTAAAGGATTTACTCATCAAAGTGTCCCAAAAGTGTTAGATGAACAATAAATAAATTAAAATAATAACTAACATTTTTATTAATTTATTTATGTTAAAGGCCAAAAAAAATTATTTAATACTTTCAAATGAAAAAAGTCTGTGACGAACTTTCGAATTGGAAAAACTTCCAGTGGAAGAATTGTTTATAATAGTTCAATAAAGTTTTTCCAAAAGGTTTTAAACTAATTTGATTAAACATTTAGAATTTATAACAGTTTTACTTTTTGGTACGCCGCGCGTGGACTATAGACACTCAACAATATAGGAATAGCTATGTTTATGTTTACAAATAGAGGACGGACTGGGTAAAAGAACATAGCGAGAGAAAAACATCAAAAACTTTAAAATAATAAATATTGAATTTGAAACATTAATAAAATATAATACATACAAAAAATAAAAATTATATTTTTTAAAAATTGTTTAAAAATGTATATTCAAAAATATTCAAATAATTTTTTAAAAACTAAAAGTCTTTACAATAAGTAAATATCCAGGATATAAAGCATCACTCCACTATTACTATACTCACGGCCGGTCCACGCGCGGCGTACCAAAAAGTAAAACTGTTATAAATTCTAAATGTTTAATCAAATTAGTTTAAAACCTTTTGGAAAAACTTTATTGAACTATTATAAACAATTCTTCCACTGGAAGTTTTTCCAATTCGAAAGTTCGTCACAGACTTTTTTCATTTGAAAGTATTAAATAATTTTTTTTGGCCTTTAACATAAATAAATTAATAAAAATGTTAGTTATTATTTTAATTTATTTATTGTTCATCTAACACTTTTGGGACACTTTGATGAGTAAATCCTCCAAATCTGAAGTCAAAAAACTTCGGATTTATGACGAGTTGAACATAAAATTGAATGAAATATTACGGTATAAAAAAATCAAGTTTTTTGCAATTATTTTGAAAACAATTCACTTTAAGAAAAAACTTTATGGAGAAAAAAGTTGCGTAATTTTATTCTCTACAAGGATATAATATTCAAAAATCAAAATTAAAAAAATTTTTTTTTTCATGTCAGGGGCCAACTTAAACCGCTGGATTTCACGCGTATGCCCTTCTACGATCCGGCGGTTCAATTGAAATTAACAAAAAAAAGTATTTGAATTTAAAATAAATACATAAAAATCTCTTTAAAACTTAATTAATGTCAGAATATTTCTTTTTACGTCTTGAAGTAAGAACAGTAGCAAAATTGAAAATTTGAACGATTCACTAGAATATGAATTTAAAATTTATTTTTAATGAAAATTGAAGAATGATAATTATTCTAATAATGAGGCATTCCATTTCCATTATTTTATTTGAAAAACTTTATATTCGAAATGAAATAATGCTTTTGATAGGAAATTTGTCAAAATTTAATTATAATGGTCTTTTAAATGGATTAAGAAGAAATAATTAAAATATAAATGCGTTTTCTACTGAATTTGGCATTAGAAACGTAACCCTTTTGAATTCCACGCCAGTCGAAAAAATTTGTTTTTTTCTAATTCTGCTTAGAAAGATTACGTTTTTGTATTTGAAAATACACAAAAAAAGCTTTTAAAATTCACTATATAAAAATTATAATAGCTTAATTTTTGTAGAAGTTATGTCAATTCGAATAAAACAATGTCCCTTGATATATAATTTTTTTTATTGGCTCTGTTCACGTGGAGTTGCTCTAAGTACTTTTTTTGAAAATATTTTTATTAATGATTTAATGAGAATAAATAGGGAAAAATTATTAGGAATGAGACATTGAACTTCTTTCACTTTTCTTGATATGTAATCAGATTATAATAACTTTTTGTACGCGTCTTATAAGGTAACGGCACCTATACTCGATCAATGGATAATAATGAATTCATAGTTTAATAAAATTGGTAAAAAAAAGTTCACAATATTGTAAATATATTTATGATAATTTTACTAATAGCTAATAAATGAATCCATCTTATGCCTGCATTAAACCTTTAAATTAATTTCAGAGGAAATTGCCCGTTTGCAAAAGCAATCGTACTCAGATTACTTGAAGCTGGAAAGCAACATAACCAGGGACATTAAATGTAAAAAAATCTTGAGCAGAATTAGCGACACAACTTTGAAGAGGGCCTGGAATTCCTTTGACGAAGGCTTGATTTCTCAAGAAGAATGTTTGCAAATTTGTAGAAATCGGCATACGGATTCAAGAATAGAATTTTTATCGCGGTACTTTGATGATATTAGCAGGGAGAACGAAACATTAGTGGAATTGATAAATGAGGGTAAATAATATTGTGTTCGCATAGATTCCCGAGGTAACGGCACCTATACTCGATCAAAACCAATAGTCGACCAATGGATAATAATTATGATTCATAGTATTAATTGAATTGGTATTAAAAGTTTATAATATTGTAAATTTTTTAATGAGTATTAATTATATATTATAAAGCTATATTATATCTTCATACTTATTTATTTAAAATGTTAATTATCAATTATAGCTTATTGATTGACTATAGTTTCTGATCGAGAATAGGTGCCATTACCTTATCATTTATTTAACTATTCAACATTTGCTATCCTTTTTTTCTGTCTTACGGTTACTTCTTTGTTTTGTTTTAAGACTTTGCTGCAGTCTACCCATTCAGTCTTACAGTAAGGAATGATCCCGATATTGAAATAGTGTCGTCAGAGGAAGAAGATGCCGTCGGTATGTATTGATGAATATGGCCGTGGCTTTTTAGTAATTCTAAATATTTAAATATTATTATTATTATTATTATTATTGAGTGATATGTATTTTTGCAATTTACAGTTGTTGACATTGTACCTGAAGTTGCTGATGAGGTTGCAGTTGACTATCTCAAAATCAAAATCCAACTGAGGCGCGGTGTTGCATTTGCCGAGAATTGCCACCACGGTTCAGTTTTGTCCCTTGTGGACATTTGAATATCTGTGAGGGTTGTAAGGAACAATATTCCGCCTTACCAGATAAGCATTGTCCAATGTGCAGAGCGGAGTACACATCAATTCTAAGAATTTTTCAGTAATCCAAAGAAATTGATTTGAATATTTTGTTTTCCGAGTAAGAGTTGAATTTTATTATTAATAATAATTATTTTAATAATGAGGCATTCCATTTTAGATCGCACCACTTGCAAAATGCAAGGTCAAACGGCAATAGGCATTTGAATGGTTCAGAGTACTTTTTATTTATGATTTATTTTATTTATAAAACTTTATATTCAAAATGAAATAATGCTTTTGATAGGAAATTTCTTAAGATTTAATTATAATGGTCTTTCAAATGGATTTAGAAGAAATAATCAAAATATAAATGCGTTTTTAACTGAATTTGGCATTGGAAACGTAACCCTCTTAAATTCCACGCTAGTGTCGAAAAAATTTGTTTTTTTTCTAATTCTGCTTAAAAAGATTACTTTATCAAAATTGTTAAACAAAAATACAGTGAAGATAGATTACTAAATTATATTTCTGTTTAACAATTTCATCAGAGTGATATTCTTTCCAATTTAAAAAAACAAATGTTTACGACTCTGGCGTGAAATTCATAAGGGTTACGTCTCCAAAGACAAATTTATTGAGAAACATAAGTGGTGAAGTTTTAAATGGAATACCTCATTATCAAAATTATTATTTAGTTCATTTGAATAAAGGTTGCAGTTTAAAAAAAAATAATTTTAAAAATCATCTTTTAAATAACTTTTTGAGAAGGCTTAGCCCTCTAACATAATTTTGAACTAAGAAAATGGTTTTTCAAAAAGTCTTTTAATGAAAAAAATTAGTTATTTTTGAAATTTAAAAGAAGTAATTCAAATAATAGTATATGTTTTACTGCGTGGGTGAGAAGTTTCAAAATTTTATGTCGTTTTCTTTTTTAAATTCAAATTCAAATTTAATACAAAAAAACCAATCATTGAGGGGATATTCAAGTTTGAAATTGAAATGAAAAACCGCTTTTTTTAGTAATTTTTTTTTGAAAATTCACAAAACAGCTTAAAAAAGCTATAGAAATTCACTAGAATCATTCTAAGAAATTTTTCCATATCAATTTCAGTGAATATTCTATAGAATTTCACTAGAACGATTCTATAGAATTTCTACATGAAATCTAGTGAATTTTAGTAAACTCAAATTAGAAAAAATATAAATTTCATGAAATAAATTTTTTAAACTTTTGAATATAAATTTCACGCAAAAATTGTTTCGATAACTTAGATTAATTGAATTTATTTAACTCAGTAACTATACAATGATATAATGATAAGAAAAAAAATATATAACGAAATTTATATTTTTTTTAATTAAAGATGACTAAAATTTAGTTGAATTCATGTAGAAATTCTATACAAACGTTGAAGTAAAATTCTCAGGAATATTCACTAGAAGATATATAGAATGATTCACTGGCATTCTATTCAACTTTTTCTGCTGGGAATTTGTATTAACGAAATTGTTTCTGGTTTTTTTGTTTTGAATTTGGCGATAAAATTCTTGAATATTCTCACTTTCTCCACAATTTTGAACCAGAATGTCCCCCTGACAATTATAATAAAGGTTTACTAAATTTCGTTTCATTTATCGAAATCGACGTATGTTTATTCATTATTTCGATGTACAATAAAATATATATTTTAATAACTATGAGAATACTTAATTCCTAATAAAGAAGAATTAAATAATTACCTTTCATTGTCCTTTAAGATAATTGTTTTAATACCTTTTCCAGTCTAGATTCGACTCACGCTTTTATTTTTTTCTAATATTATGATTTCAAAAAATTGTGAGCTGCCGAAAATTGCATTTTTTTAAATTGAGTGAATTAATTTTTTTAACTTAATGAATTTTTTTGTTTTTGTTCAAAAAATAAGAAAAAAGTTTAATGTATAAAAAAATAAGTATAAAATTAGGAAGAAAATAAGAACAACATTATTATGTAGTTTGTCAGTATAATCTGTGAAATTTTTGGCATACCACATACAATTCTTGCATATTGCTATATTTATAATTTGAACAAAAATATTCAAACATGCATATTTTTTGAAATTTAATAATTTTTCACTTTCACATTTTTTTACACAAATAAAACTGCAGTAATGAATAATATCAAAATAATTTAAACTTTATTTTTTTAACACTTACCATCTTGTAATAATTCTGCTGCTATATTTCCATTTTTTTTTAATTTCCCACAAAAGTTTTTGTCCAATTATAGAAACAATATGTGGCGCCTCTAGCATGCCAAGTTCAATAAAACATAGAGCGGAAACTCGTTAGTGGAATTTATTTCGAAGAATTGCAAATTCGACAAATTGGAATTTCTTTTACGCGGGTTTATCGATCTTTTTAAATTGTGTCAAAAAGAAATTCGACATAATCAATATTCAACCATAACAAAATTGAGAAATAACAAAATTATGACAAATAAAAGATAATTTATTCAAGGATTCTATTTAATTGAATAAACACTTGAATAAAATTTTCCTTTATGAAAAATACATATACAATAACATAACTTTAATATCACTCCTGTTTATCATCAATTGTGCTCAAACTGTAATATTTCCATGAATAATAATGAAAATAATTGATTCTTTGTACAAGTCGGACTTTCCATACATGCAAAATATGTTGAATAAAAAATCTATCTACTGCAAATCTACTTAAAACACAAATTTAGTTAAAGGAAAATTCATCTAAATATTACATCTACTGCATAAAATTAATGTCATAAAACAAAACATTTTTTTCCAATTATGTTGAATTATAATTTGATTCAATATATATTATATTACCTATGAATTTAATAGCATGATTGTGCTTTGAAATATAAATTTTCATAACAACAAATTCCTCCACATTATAATTATTATAGTAAACTTTCAGGTATTTAAAAAATTTTTTAATAACAATTTTTTTTCCTTGTAATTTATACTATTCAAAATCACTTCAACTATTACTTTAACCCCTCCACATTTCTCCTACGTAAATATTATCATGAGCACTAATTACATGAATTAAAGAATGGTTTACATAGATATTTCTTCAAACACTAACTTCATATTGTATAAACTTCCACAAAACAAAATTTTTATTTCTGCACTTCTGATAAGTAAAAATTATATGATTTTTAATTTAACGTCATGAAAATATCAACAACTTCAATGTGGGGAGTAATCATGCGTCCCCATTTATTTTGTTAAATATCAGTACTTTTTAAAATAATTTATATTTCTTTGTACATTTTTTTAAAGGAGATTTTAATATACTCTAAAGTAAAACTTATTGCAAAAGATAATTTTTAATTATAATTAAACAATGTGAAGAACATTATTTATTTTTTATAGTAGTTTTAATATTTAAAAATCGCTGGAATTTGTTTTAAAGCCGGGGTTAAATCATGAAGAAGCTTTATTTGAAACGTATAATTTACTATGTGTAAAGAATAAATTTTTTCATTTTGAACCTGTGTGTATCGATCGATTTTTTTCAAAATTTTTTTACAAAAACTGCTCTAAATTTGACGAATTTTGTGATTAAAGATTTCATTCATATTTATTAATTATCGAGTTATCTGGTATTATTTACAAAATCATTAATTTTAAATTGCCTAATAACTTCTACAAATAAAACAAAATTTTAGATAAATAATTAAAATATTACTTTATTATTTATTTTCTAAACTAATTTATTTTATAAAACTAACAATAATCGTTGGGTTTGAATGAGAGAAAATGATTATTGTTTGATTTCCATTCAGATAATTAAAAACGTAAAATTTGAAAATTCGAAAAAAATAGTTCCCATCGTTTTCCCTTTATCGGACTAGGCTCAAAATTCGTCAAATTTAGAGCAGTTTTTGTAAAAAAATTTTGAAAAAAATCGTGAAAGCTAGTCTTTATGAGTACTAAAAGGAAAAAAAATTTCAAAAAGATCTGAGGTACAAAAGCCAATGGTCTCTGATTTGGCATGGAATACCTCATTTATTTAACAATTATACGACAATTTTGTATATAAATATAGTCTAAAATTGAAAGTTCAAATAAATAAATACTAATTTTTACAGATTTTCCTCAAAAAAGTGAACGATCCGATGTTTCGAAACGAAAGTCATTCCATGATATGATAAACGATATTTATAAGAACAAAGAACTTAAAGGAAAGGTTTATAGTGTATTCATATTTTATTTAAAAAAAGTACGTTTTGTACTCTTTCTGCAAAGAACAATCATAGTGCATTATGATCAATGCATCATACTTCACCCAAAATCTTGACTAATTTTATAATTTTAAACACATATAAAGTAAAATTTAATACAAAAAATTTGTCAGAGAAAATTTATCAACTAAAATTTTAAGGACATTTTTTATATAAAAATAATACATTATTTGACTACTTATTTATATCTTTATTATTCTTATAATTTGAATTTGAAGATAATTAAATTACAAGAATTAGATAGGTTAGAATTAGAGAATAAAAGATTTCTTTTAGTTTTAAATATTAAATGAGGAAAAATTATTTAAATTATATAAACTTCTGTCGGGTGGTAATTGATGAAAAATAATCTATTTATTATTTATACAGTAAGATTCCTTTTCCGTCAGCATGTTTATCTGCATTCGTTTATCCGAAAAGGTTAATAATTTGTCATTGAGCAATTAGTCTGTGTATGTTATTATCATCTAAATTTTACATTCTGAGAAAATTATTTTCAGATCGCGAAGAAAAATTAATTTTTAGATAGCAATTTCTTTTTTTCTGCTTATTAAAATGTAATTAATAATAAACAATAGTTTTTAAAAATATTCTCTAAATATATATACTTTGTTTTTGA